ACTGGGAGGGAAGAGCTGGCTATGTTTTGGTGGGTGTAACGGCCGCTGTGGCCGGATATTTTAGAGAGCAATGACACGACGTCAAGTCTGCATATAGAGACTACTGTCAAGCTTGATATACACAACACCTTCACCCTGAATGCGAGCCCGCAAGATCTTGTTTCAATTTTATTCCATCATTGAGTTGCATGCGAACCAACAAGACCATGACAATGTACTCACAGCCGGTTCCTCTCCTCCGCAGTCGCCGCAGCAGTCTGGTGGCCGCTTCCTGTCCCCGCTCTATCCACAACAGCAAACCGCACGTATCAAATAACAAAAGCAAGAAGTACATCCCATCACCAGACGGACTCGTGGATCGTGGTGGTGACCACAGGAACCATCGAGAAGGAGCGGTGCGGTATGTTCTTCAAGTCTTGTCTAGGAGCTACATAAAGCTACAGCTACAAGAGAGAGAGAAAGAGAAAGAAACCCAAACTTGGACCCGCTGCCGCACCGAATGTTCCAGCTTCCAAGCACCCACCAGATACTGTTCCTCCGAACGGCGGTTATACTACCCGGAAGAAGGGACACACTCTCTCCAGCATTCTCGTTCACAAAGATCCGATGCCCAGGCTGCCCAGAAGATCTCCCTCCTATTCGCGCTCCCATTCACGCGGATTTCAGGATCAGATACCGATACATCATACATGAAGCACAGGGTGAGAGCCTATGATGCCTGTCTCTACCAGTATACCAGTACCAGCACCTAGTCCCGGTAACTACCGGTAAGTGAAATTCGAGTCTTCAAGAAGCCACGGCCTACGGTGTGTGCTGTGTACCTATATCTCTTATGGTATCTTCAGTAAACCTGCTGTGGTGGGGTGGTAGAGGAGCTATCAGCGAGAGGAGGAGTTGTATGTGAGAGGAGAAGGAACTGTCAGCGAGTGGAGAAGCTGTCGGTGAGGAGGAGGAGTTGCGGCGGGAGTAGCAGTAGGAGTTGCGGCGGGAGTAGCAGTAGCAGATGCGGCGAGAGGAGGAGGAGCTGCGGCGAGAATAGTAGATGTGGTGAAGAAGCATGAGTATAGAATTGAGGGTTGGTGAAGGTGGAGGTTTGAGGAGATGAGAAGAGACTTGACAACCGGAACTGCAGCTTTAAGGCGGACTTCAACAGACGCTATTCCTATCCAAGCGGGCCTGATACTACGGCTTCACCCACGCAAACGTTTTTAAATCGACACCCTTAACCCAGATACCCAGAACCCCTTAACTGCACGACAACTCATAATACTACACTACATCTAATCTACTTCGTCTTCTTCCTGTACGGTACTATACACGCAAAATCAGCAACTCCCACGTCACTACACTACACACGGAGCCACATACGCAGAGTGAATGAATAGGCGGCCTGCATAGGATTGCCGGAGAAGCTTCCGCCGGAGGAGCTAGCCGTGCTCTCAACAGGAAACGCGCGTTTGAATGGGTTGACCTCCGGCTTGACGATTTTCTGCCGGGGACCGTGCTAAGCAGGGACCACGAGAAGCCGCCGCCGCTGGTGGTGATCGCGGCAGCTTTGCGGCTGTTGATCGACGACTCCCCCCCCCCCCCCCCCCCCTCCCTTCCCCTCCCACCCCCAACCTGTGTCTTACAGCCCGTTTTCTCCCTTCGCCCAGCTTTCCCAACATTTCCAAGCAACCGGCCAACCGAACGAAGAGAGTAACATACCATTGCCAGGTATTCGTGAGGAGATACCATCTCCTCTCCTTCTAAGTAGCCAAAATCTAAAGCAGAGGCAAAAAACCAAAAACCAAAAACAAAGGAGAAACTGTAGAACAGAAAGGGAGAAAAACGAACAATCTAGAAATGGAAGGAATAGATAGGTAGGTAACAGCACGCCCAGCCGTAGAATGTACATTGTACACAGTAATCGACAGAGGGGGAAATTAGGATGATCCGCAGCAAAAAAGGGAAGTAGTGCATCGGGAATGACGTGAGGATAGATAATTGGGGGGAGGACGGCAAGTCTAAGTTGGAAGAAACATGCCTCCTCACTCGACCCACATCACCACACTTCGTATTTTCGTCGGCTTGAATCTTCCGGGCGTGGACGGCAGCCGTTTCCCGCGGAAACCGGACGCCTCCAGGTACCGCAACAGATGGGTCCTGGTGCTGTGCACCGGAGACCCCGCAGTGTTTGCTCTGGCTCCACCGGGAGGAAAAGCCCCACCGCCTTCGTAGTCTGGGCGGTGGCTATTACTGGCGTACAACTCGCACACGAACCAATCAGACTCCTCGACACCGCCGCGCCTAGCGAGCACCCATTTCGTCCTGGCGGGGGCGGGGGCCGGCTTCTCGTGGTCTCTCGGGAGATGGAATAGCGACTTCAGCGGACAGAACACCTTCATGCTGACGCGGATCGGAGCGCGTATGGAGAAGGCGCACAGGCATCGCGTGCTGCTGGCCTCAGGGCTGACGGAATACAGCTCGCCGTACGCTTCGATCTTTCGCAGCGCTTCGGAGTTGCCGTTCTCGACTACGAATTCCTCGATGTCGCAGATGTCGAACCGCGCGTGAACCCTAACACGGCTCACGGTGATGGCACTCTTGCTCTTCACCGGCTTCGTGTTGATGGTTCCTTTGAAGGCGTGGAAGTCGGCTGGAAACATCGAAGAGCCTGGGCCGATGGCACCGTTCTGTATCCCGTTCCAATTGAAGATCGAAACGTCCCCCGTGGTCCGGATGATGCTTTCCAACAGCCTGGATATGGCCATTTTGCGACCTTCTCCGTAGTTGGTCGTCATCCGCACTCCAAGCAATCCCATCAAGGAGTACGCCCGATCCTCGGTCCGGCTAGGAGAAAAAAATGTTTTAGTATGATTTTTCTATAACGCAAATGGTTCGGGAAACACACCTGGTCTCTCGGTCGGATGCAATTTGTAACAAAAACGATGCTGCGACTTCGGGTCTTTTCCCGCAGCAGATCAGGCTACTGGACCTGACATTACATAGATATGCTAAATCCTCGAGAATTTGGAGACGCAGAATCTCACAATCATTCGCAAACCACGTATCATCCAGACGGAATGCTACATCGTCCGGCAAAAGATATCCATCGTCCCCCAAGGATGTATCACCGTCCTTGGCCTTGTCACCGTCGTCCGTGTTCCCTGGAATTTCTATCGGAAAAGCTACATCCTCCGTTTGCGTGCGTTTGGTGGTGCCTACGGGCTTAAGGAGACTAGTGTCCACGATATATTTCCAATGCTTATTATAGAAGACCGCGCGGGGGCTCATCACGATTTCCTGCAGCGTCCAACCACGGGTTGACCATCTGGGCCTTTGTGAGGGGTAAGGGCTCGGAGGAACAGTTGTTCCTTCAAAGTCATCAAGGTATACCAGACAGACCTGCGAATTCTGGTACCAATCTCCCATACTCGAGAGTGACTCGTTCAGCTCGGTTTTGTGGGACTTGTCGATGCAGCAGTTGTCCACCCAGAGATACCGGAAGTTCAGTGCCCGCGCCTGGTCGATCGCTCCCATCAACTTTTGTTTGGCTGCCTCCTCCGGGTCCATGCTATTCCCGGTGTCGAGTCCCGAGTGATCAATCTGGAGATCCGCCGCCGGCTCTGCGTATCCCGGGGGAAGCTGCGCCTTCCGCCGTATCCTACATTCTCCCAACCTATCGATAAGCCGGTGATTGTTCCTTGGGCCGCCGTACTTGGAGCCCTTCCCGTCCGACTCCTTAGTCGCTTTTACCCCGGGATAATCACCAGGTGCGTCCCCGTCTATTGCCATGCGGTCCGGATTTCTTAGCGTTTCGATGAGCGCGCTTTCCCTCTGTAAACGCTCGTTGGCCATCCGGAGAAATACATCGTTTACAGTGAACATATCGACCTCGACCGATCCCCAGGTATGGGAAAGAACCGCGTACGAATCGCGGAACACATTCTGATCCTCTTCGAACCGTAGAGTCTCGACATCGATCACTCTGGTCGGGTACCGGGGGGGCTCTATATCGGCCGGGGGAATTCTGGTATGTTCTCCCTTTCCCTTCACGAGCACCGCGATGTCCAGATAACAGACTGGTGCCTTCTTGAGGAACAGCGCGCCGATCTCTTTCATACATGCTCCGATGACAAGCGCACGTCTCCCGAGCAATCCCATCAACCGCAGGATGCTGGCCTTTGGCGCTGGAATCCCTCGCCCCGGCTTACCCAGAGCTAGAAATCTCGATTCCCATGAGAGCCACTGGCGTCGAGTTTTCGCTTCTTCCTCTAGGCTGCTTGGTTTTCCAGTCCAAAGCAATTCGTGACTCGACAAGATATCTCCCAGCAGTACCCCCGCCTCTTCATCAAGGTCATCTTGGGTGAACCATGCCAAAACCTTGATTACCTCCAAGAGCGCTTGGTGGATCGCCGGAAGGACTTTGTGTCGGATGGTACCGGAAACGCCCTTAATCCCAGCGCCCTCAGTGGTCACGAGGTAACAGAAACATTTGGAGCCGTGCGTGCATCGCTCAGCAAGGTCCGCCGAGTTCTGAATGTACCGAGTATCCGATTCCTCGGATTCCACCATTCCCAGGGCTTCCTCGAATACATCCTGCAGTTCCTTCTTTGTCCATTTCCCAAACTCGAAATCCTGTCTCTGCAAGTGCTTCTCGACGAATTTCAACCCTATTTTCGCCTTTCCCTGGGTCGCCATGTGCTGAAACGTCACGTCGAACGTCATTTTTTCGTCCGGGGAGGGGCTTCGGCGTTCCGTTGAGAAGACCCGGTCGAGGGGGTTGTAATCATCGTTCTTGCTGGAAACGTCGCTGTGCTCGATTCCGTTGAGCGCCAACCCCTCCATTCGCTCTCGCCCAGACAGAGCCGATATTGGATTCGTATCGCGAAGGCGATGGTGATGGCGCGTAGTTGATTTGCAACCCCTCTCTCTCTCCCGAAGAGAATCAATGTGCTCTCGCCGGTTGAATGATCCCGGCTGGCCGATCGGGTCCAGCTGCGATTGATTTCGCGGACCTTCTTCACGAAGCCTTCCTCTTTTTTTCTTTCTTTTTTTTTGTTCGTCTTCAAACGATCCAGTTGGCGCGATCGCTAGCCCAAACTAACTGCGGTCCTGGACGGCCGATCGTACCGCGGGCGTCAACGATTCCCCTCGCACCTAATCGTCCAGTATCAGTCAGCGTAGGCCAAGAACCGGACGAGCGAGGGTTGATCCACGGTTGGGATGCTTTCCGAAGAAAGAAGCTCAGACCAGCGCCTTGTTGGCTTGGGAGAAAGAGTGTGGTGGGGGGGCTTTGAGACAGGTGCAATATCGATCGATATCGTCGTGGGATGGTGAGCCGTGCGGAAGGTTGCGAGGGTTATGTACCGACTGCACGAAGCCCACACAAGCCACTGCCACGTGGTTAAGTTGCGGGCCTGCCAGTCCCGGGAAAGAAAGAGGTTTTAGGGATATGGAGTGTATTGTCGTGGGAGTAAAGCAGAGGCAGGAAATATGGAAAGTCCTGCGAGGAGTCGTGCAGAAGATGGAAAAAGGGTTCCATGAAAGCTGTCTTGCACAGCCCCCCCACCTGGCTCGCACGCGACGTCAGCCGACGAATGAAGCTTAGATATGGCACTGCTAGTTAGATCGATCCACGGGTAGGGACAGGCTGCTAGTTACCGCCGCATCCCAGTCCCTCCGAATGCGAGTGAATCCGTCGAGTATGTAGAGTCTCGGACCGGGCCCCGGCAGGAGACAACGATGAAAGGACTCGGGATTTCGTGTCTTCGGGTTGTGTCAGCCGCGAATGATTGTGCTGCACGTGATTGTTTCCTGGTGCAGCCTTGCTGCACTCCCGTATGGCCGGCTGTTTGCTGCGGCATTGGATACCGGTAGTTAGAGTATGGCGACACGCACCGTCCGCGAACCAAGTCTCCCGTCCGGAAAAACCAGCTCGAGGCAGCGACCAACTTCTCCGCTTTCTGCCTGGGCCCCCGTGACTCCGTGAGTAACTAATAGACCGCACCAAAGATAGTCAGGTACCCGAGTTGTGCCGTATCGGTTGACATACCGATTCCCCGGAGTGATGAGAGTTAGGACTGCACCATGAGGATAGCTACATGCCGACGGCAACGCGACAGTGTCATGACGTAGAGTATTGTCAGGTACATAACATTACGGACACGGAAGGGTTGTGACAGTAAAGTTAAAGTTTTTGCTAAGTCGCTGGGTTTGTTCGAGGGCGTTTTGTTTAATGGCAGGATAGATGCGATCGGCATGGCTGGTGGTGCGAGGTCGTCATTCGTTACGACTGTCCCCTCCACCAATTGGCCCATTATCGTCACTGAATGGGCATCTCTACTCGAGCACTCGACCGGAAGGCCTCTCCACCACCTAGCGGAGTGCTGTCACATTAGATTTTCCCGTACTCCGGTATACACATAGTATAACTAGTGCTTCATCTGACAGAACACTGCACATACGAGGAGATTGAGTCCCATCGTGCCCGAATCGGTCGGGTCAGTGCCGGAAGGGATGGGCCAACTCGCCGGCCCACCGTCAATGCCCCGTAGTTACTCGGCGGCCGACGGCCGGCCCGCTCCTTATGAGCCTATATATGATGTGTATGTAGAACCCGAGGGCCGATTTACGGTATCTAGATTCTAGTGCGGTTTAAAAATATACACCGGACTTCGCTACTATTAGGGTTGAAAGGGAAGGCTGTGAAAAAAAGCTTGGTGCATTCCGATTATTGATTATTGATGGATCAGATAGAGTAATAGTATGGTACCAACCAATCACGGCGGCCCTCCTGGGCGCTGTCTCGGCTCAGCTAAGTAGACAGCTGGCATGTTTCACAGCTGGCCTTCAGGTATTGGTTTGGCCCAAAAGTACTCACATATGTACCATGTAGTCAATCAAGTCCCGAAGGCCTACGTATAATTGTGCTCTGGGTTGGAGAGCCTTGGAGGCCTAGCCGTGCGTGCCGCTGACGATCCTAGTAATTATTCGCGCCGGACAGCCAATAGCTACATGAGCACCCCTCCCCCGTCCCCCTCCCCCTCCCCCTCCCCCTCCCCCTCCCCCCACATAACCTCAAGGCTATATAATGAGTGCAATCGGCCATTGTTGGGGCCAAAAAGCTCTTACGCGGACAATCTACGTTCCCTCCCGGTCGGCCGCATCTCTCCGAGCCATTTCTCTCGCGACAGCGCCAACATACCCTCCCGCAAATCGGTTTAGAGTGACATCGCACCCCTCATGATCCGGTTCCCCACCGATCGCGATGGCTGGCGGCTCGACATCATCTCACTGCTAGCGGTGCTGGGCGAGTCGGCGATGTTGCGGCACTCGTTGCCGATGACCACGAGCTGGCTGTGCATGCTGCCCCGCCTCGTGCCTGCCCCGCAGGCGCTGTTGACCAACAAACGGCCAGACCGGCCGAAACCGCACCGCGCACACATCGCGGGAATCCACTCCGGCGTGGTGTACGACGAGCTCAACTACTTCGCCCACCTGCTCTGCGACATCCCGCTGTCGAAGTTTGCTGTGCGCGAAGTGAAAATCCGGCGCGCTCCCGACAACCGTCGGGACGCCGACGTGGAAGGCACCCCGGCGGCGCGGGAACTCGCAGCCGCAGCCAAAGCCCCGGCGCTCGGGCTCCTCCGCCGACGCTTCACGACTACGGACATCTGGGGCCCGCGGTTCCGCGACTCGGTGACGATCGTCACGCCGCAGCGCCTCTCGCCGCTGGTATTCCTCTCGGTGGGCTCGTGCCTGCTGACGCTGGGGCTGCTCGCGTGGGCGGCGGTGATTGGCGACGGCGTCGCCGTGATCGCCATCGTCGCGCTGTCGTTGACCTCGTCGCTCACGGGCATGGCGTCGTTCTGGCGGCCGCGCACGATCGCGCGCCAGGTGCTGCGCGACGTGCCCGACGGCGACCTGGCGCTGCGCACGCGCCACGGCGCCTTCATGATCATCCGCTGCGACGAGAACGTGGCGCGCGAGCTGTACACCGGCACCGAGGAGTGCGAGTACTGGATCGGCGAGAAGATGTTCAACGCGCTGGCGGGCGCCGCCACGTTCCTGCTCATGGTCGGCGTCGTGATGATGGGGAACTGCACGTGGACCATGCAGGCGGCGCTCGGCGCCTCCTACATGCTGCTCAATGGCTGCTACCAGCTCGCGGCCCTGCTGCCCGAAACTTGGTTCTGGGACTTTTCGCGCTATGTGGTCGACGAGGGCGTGCCACACGAGACCAAGACCTACACCAGCGCGCTGTGGAAGGCGATCCAGGTCTCCAAGAGCACCGGGTGGGTAACAGTGATGCAGGCCGCCCCCGTAACGGAGCCCTGGAGGAAATGGCTCGTGGAGGCGGGGCAAAACATCGAGAACAAATCCTGGAACTCCGGTTTGCGCCTGGTACAACTCATGAAGGAAGAGGTGCAACCGAAGGGACAATGAGCCTAAGAAGGAGGGCGAATACGGTAGCCAGGCGCTGAAACCGGCTCAGATTGTCAACGGGGTAACTCCGAGCAGTGCATTTGGGGGAGGAGTGCTGTTCGCGGATGTGATACCTACCGGCGGCATGATTTGGAATGATTGAATGAAATGAAAATGTACAGGAGTTTTCCTAGATACCTATTTTGTTTTCGAGCGGCGGAGAGAGGTAGCTTTAATTTACTAGAAGGTCCCGGGACTGCCGGTGGGTTACTGAGGACAGTACACTTGCATGCACATATAGTTGAGATGTATATAGTGCGATCCACTTGGAGTCCGTGGCTCCGCTCTCTCGTGGAGTAGAATCACTATTAGAAACACCGGTGAATGTGGTAGTAAACGACGCACTCATGTACCGGTATTGCCGTATCATACAAGAGGGGCAGCAAGACCCGAGCCTTTGCGATGGTACCACAACCACTACTATACTGGTACCGCAGCATATCACTCGCTCTAGGTCCCCGAAGGCCGAGAATCCACGAAATCGGAACGCATCCCGACACTACGAGCAGTCCGCCCGGATTGAAGCAAGAATCGATGGATCTCTTTAGTGCTGCCCTGGCTTCAACGGTGCAAGGAGTGTAATGTGGATGGACGATCTCGAGGAACATGTCGCCCGCGCTGGACGAGGGGTACTATAGTTATGTCCATTGTCCAATCGCTACAGCCTACAACGACTAGAATGGGAGTGATACGCAGAATTCAGATCTCCAAATACGAATCTGATAGTACCTACTATATTAAAGGCGCGTTGAGAACTTGGCGGATATGTATGTTGAAGTGTTGAGTGTTGAAAATCATGACATGATAACTATCGCTGTCGAAGGAAGATCATTACTACATAGCAATCATTAGAGGAGATTGTGTAAGTGCTTACATGAGCAACGGTCTAGTTCCCGCGATTGTTACCTCAATTAAGCGATGTCGCCGTCAGCTGTGAGCAGTGAGCAGTGAGCACCGCCGCAGGATGGTACTCTATATAAATGGCAAGGGGTGGCCGCGTCCGACGCGTCAACGGATAAAGACGATTCGGGCAACGGAGAACCAAAAGCAGGTGTCTTGTCTAGGTAATCGAGTTCGTTAACTCCGAGCATAGATGGTGATACACGAGGCTTTGTCGTGTATCACCATCATTGAGTGAGTGGGCTTCGCATTGAGATGGGCTTGACTCCGCCCACAGTAAAGAGTCCCTGGCTAGAGAACGATCTGGCCAAATCGCAGCTGGTAGGTCTGATATCGACTTACTCATCCATTGTAGATTCTTACTCTAGGCCCTTGCTCCGAGCTAGACGGGTTGCTTCCCCGGGAAGCGGTGCCAAGGGATCAGTCCGTCGGCCCAAAGCTCCCTTTCTGGACCATGGATAACTGACCCTGTGACGCACATTCCTCTCCATGAGTAAGTAAAGTATTCCACTCCATCACAGCAAACACCGAGCCCGCGTATGGGCGGCCATACACTCCAGTTAACCCCGTCCTGACGTCCCCCCTTCGCCCTCGCCCTCCCTCGCCCCCTCGCTCGCTAGCCAAGTACTTATAGGGAAGCGTATATCCGTCCCGGACCGGAAAGGAAAACCCTCGCACACACCACCACACCGTCCACAGCGTAGCCGACCGGTCCGTTCCGAAGCAAGCAAGCCATGAACATCGAACCCCAAGCACTGTCTGAAACCTCCGACACGCCGCAGCGCCTGCGCACCTCCAAAGCCTGCGAAGAATGCCGCAAGCGCAAGATCCGCTGCAACGGACAGTCGCCCACGCCGTGCGACTACTGCCGCCAGAAGCGACTGCACTGTGTCTACCGCAGTCAGGCGCGGATTCGGCGGCCACGGCACGTGTTGATGGGGATGGCGCGTGCGTCCGCCGCGGCGGGGGGTGGGGCAGATGCCGGGACGAGCGCGGGGGCGGGCGCGGCGACGGGTGATGTGGAGGGATTGGGCGGCGCGGGGAGCGGGATCGGGGGAAGTCCGATCGAGAGCTCGCTGTACGCGGGCGTGTCGGCCACGTACGCCGACTCGCCGAGCAGGACCCTGCAGCTGTTCTACGGCCCCTCGAGTAATTTCCCCATGATCCAGCACATCCACCAGCGCTTGAACGCGGCAAAGAGTGCTTCCACTGCGCCGTCGTCGACTATAGAAGAGGTCGACGAGGGGCTGGACAGGTTTAATTACCGCGGCATCTTCTTCGGGAAACATTCGGATCAACAGGACATGTCGTATCCTGCCGCGGGAGGTGCTGGGGGGCTTGGCGGCAGCGGCATCGGCGGAGGGATAGGGAGGAGGGGCGTGGATGATTCGAATCTGCTGTTCCTGCCTTACAATCTCGCGGCGGACTTCCTTGAGAAATTTCTAACAACGCTACAGAGGCACTTGCCGTTTGTGGATCCGGCGGTTGCGGCGGACTCACTGGCGGTGTTGTACGGGAATGCGGGGGTAGGTGACGCGCGGGAGCTAGATATCGGCGAGAGAGCGATATTGATCGCCATCCTGGCGGTCGGTGCCACGCTCACCGAGTACACGGTCTGGGCCGAGACGCTGTACAAGCGCGCGAATAGTCTGGCGGATGAGCTTGACGATGTGGTTAATGTCCATGTGTGTCAGCTGGGGTTGCTGCTTGCGCATTTTCAGTGCGTTACCGGGAAGCCCAACTCGGTTTATTTGCTGGTGGGGACGGCCATGAGGAAGGCGGTCGCTGCGGGTCTGCACAAAGAGGCGTTGTCCAAAGGACGGCAGAGCGTGGACTTTGCACTGGTGCAGGAGAGGAGGTTAACGTTCTGGAGCATCTATATCTTTGAAGTGTTGGTCTCCCGGATGAACAGAAAAGGGTGCCGTTTCTGATGGTGAGGATAGTACCATCTCTTTCGGACTGGGCCGGCCGATCTCGATCCATGACAGCGACATCAGCATTCCATACCCTGAGGATTCACCCTTCTTCATATCGCTGATCACACTGGCACGCGTCTACTCGCGCGCCTCGCAGCAGCTGTACAGCACAAAACAAGGCTCGCTCCTATCCCTCTACAAATCCGCCACCGCGCTCAAGGCCGAACTCGACGCCTTCCGCGCCTCGCTCCCGCCCGAACTCCAACTCGGCCCGGACGCGCCCTTCAAATCGGGCGCACCCGATGTCCTGAAGCTCTTCCTCAACAACTGGTACTACCACGCCGTGATCCTGATCTTCCGCCCCTTCCTGATCTTCCACGCGCAATGGCAGGCGGACCCGTCGCACCGGCTGACCACTGACCCTGCCGTCGCCGTCTCGAAACGGCAACTGCGCACCTCGGCGCCGTGGATCTTCACCGCGTGCGACGCGTGCATCTCAGCCGCGCGCGAGCTGCTGATCTGTCTGCACCGCAGCGTGAAAACCAACGACCTCGTGCGCCGCCTCGCATACTCGTGTTTCTACGTCGAGTGCGGGGCGTTCCTGCTGATCTTTAATATGCTACGCGAGCGCCGCGCATCCGACGCCCCGGACTCGGGCGAGGACGCCCGCTGTATGAGACTCGCTCTCGAGGCGATGGAAATGATGCATGACACCACCCCGAGAAACGTCAGTCTCTTCGCTATACGTAGGATGCTGGCGCTGGTCGAGGGCGTGGAAGACGATGATACAGAGACTTGGGGTGGCGTTAGCCCTGAGAGCTCGACGCCCGGCACGACTATTGCAGTAGGTCCCTTACTCCTTCCCTCTTTCGACTGTGTTCTGATTGCGAAGGAAACGGCTGCGGCAAATGGATTACTGCGGATGCCGGAGACGGCGGGAATGCCCGGGGAGAATATGTCCCCAAGCAGTGTGCTGGATTGGGACCTGGGCGAGATGAAGTTGAATTTTGACCTCAACAGTATGGATCTCGATTGCTGGCTGGCTATGGAAGGGTTTGGGGGGGTGGGAGCATGCGATCTTGGGTAGTCTTATATTACATAGTCCTCCTTATCGCGAATAGAGCTACATTTCCACCTTCTCCTCTGGCACCCCCACCTCCTCCTCCCCCTCGCCATTCTCCTCCCTCCACCACCCCCAAAACTCGTTTACCCTCCTAGTCCTCTCCACGGCCAGTTCCCTCCCCAGTCTCGTCTTCATGAGCGCCTGAATCTTTACCAACTTCTCGCCAAAATGCTCCACGCACCCCTGCAGACTCGCGTTCCTCACAACCCCGCCAAACACAAAACACCGCGCAATCCCCACCGCCCCCAGCGCATCCAGGCGGTCCGCGTCCTGCACTACCGCCAACTCGGGGTACACCGCCAACACCGCGCGCACCGCGGCCGGGTTCGCGATCTCGGAAGAGTACGAGACGTGCGCGACCACCACTGCAACCCCGCGCGCGAGCGCGGCGGGGGCAGTTGTAGCCCAGGAGCACACTTTCCACTGAGTCCCCACCAGTAGAATATTTATGGTCCCCGACATCATGCAGCAGCGCGGCGAGCTGGATCAGTAGCGCGTCGTGCCCGTGGTCGGCGGAGGGAGGGGTCAGCCGCGTGGCGAGACGCGACACCCGCTCGATGTGGGCCCAGTCGTGAGAGGCGTCGTAGCGCGACATGTAGTCGCGCACGAATAGGCGGGTGGAGGTGAGTAGGAGGGCGCAGGCGGCGGGGGGGAGGGTGTAGGGTTCTCGAGGGGGGATGGTGGGGGTGGACATGGTGGTTGTGGTGGAGGAGCGAGGCGGGGTGGTGCTGGTGGGAAGACGCGTGCGTGCGTGTGTTGGGAGACGCGGGGTGGGTGGAAGACGCGGGGTGGGGTGGAAGACGCGGGGTGGGGTGGAAGACGCGGGGTGGGGTGGAGATATAGTACATCATAGTACAGCATAGCAGTAGTGGGGCGGCCGCCGCCGGCCGGTCCCGGCGCAGCCCCGGCTCAGTCCCGGCGTGTTTGAGGGGGGATTCACACCGGTGAGAATACCGGTACCTACTCTACATAGCCCCATTACGAAGCAGAATGGCAAAAGCAGGAGATGCATCTGAAGCCTGAAGGCCAATGGCTTCTAGCAGAAAGAGAAGGAAGAAGGTAGGAGTACATAGCGAATGATGCCTCATGCCGGAGTCTTGGAATCTCACTCGTGAACGGAGCCTGGCAGGGAGGTGGGAAGCTGCCGACCCTCCAGGCCCTGTGGCCGGCGCGAGGAAGCAGGAGATGAGGATGGCGGTAAAATTGTCGTGGTGCGATTTCATTTGTTTTCTTTGGTAGGCAGCGGCGCCACATCGTGCTAGCTGGTAACGGGGTCCTAACAAGGAGTGTGTTGGTTCGCCATAGTTTAGATAGGCTGTATGCGAAATAAAACAGGAAGATCTCTCTCTCTCTCTCTCTCGACCCTCCAGGCCTCGGTATTCACCAGACGTAATACGATCTTCAGGTGTATGGTACAATGCTAGTACGCCCCAGAAACCCCCGGGGCTGTCATGCCAGTCTGCGTCCTCACCATCTGTGGCATCGCGAATGACAGCATGTGCCACTAAGTTTGGTACTTGAGTTTGGTACTTGCGCAAAGAAGACACAGACAAAAGATAGCATCTAGTAGCATTGAATCGACCTGCTCCGATTCCGATCTATCGATCTATCGTGGATCCAACCTACAACTTACAACTACACAAAGTCCCGTATAAATTACAGCCAGCCACTTCACCCGCGTGCAAAGCCCAGTCCAAGTCCAAGTCCAAGTCCAGAAACAGAAGAAAAGTAAAACCCCATGCAATCGAATCAGTCCGCTCCGCAAATCGCAATCCATCCGTCCATGCTCGCCCAAACGAAATAAAGCAAACAAAAAACAACGCCCAAGAAACCCCATGCCTTCCCAACAAAAGAGAAAAAACCAAAACGCATATCGCTCGCCCGCTACCCCCTGCGAACTCCCATAACTAGGGCAGCGGAGCTCGATTCGCCACAAGCGGCTTCCCCCTCCGCCGCCTCCTCCCCTCGCCGGCCGAGTCCTCAAACCAACCCGTTCCAGGGCCACCACCTGCTCCAGGTCGTCTCCTGGAGGGCGAGACAGTCGTCGTCGTCACCGTCGAGCTCGTCGAAGTCCTCGGGCGCCCGCTCGCCCCACATGAGCCACTGCCAGCCGGACCGCGGCATCGAGTCCGAGCACGCCAGAGGCGCCGAGGAAGAATGGCAGCGCGCGGCTCCACCACTCGGCGTGGTCGTTGGCCGTCGGGGCCGCGATGCCGCCACCGCCGTAGGCTGGTAGTCGTAGTGGCCGAGCGGGTTGAGCAGGAGCGAGAGCGAGTAAGAAGAAGTTTGCCGAAGAAGGCGGCCACGAAGAGCGATATTGCTAGCCCGCTGTCGAGCGCCGTCGGAAGTTGAGGAGGAGCTGCGGCAATGCGAGAGCTCAGGTATAGCAGCGTCGAGAACCAGCTCAGGACGCTGCCGATGTCCTGCAAGTTTACGCCGCCATCCGCTGCAGGGGAATCGAGGTGGTGGTGATATGGGGCTGGCGCCCGCAAGATGGAACATCATCGAGACTACCACGATGAGTGTCGAGGCGAGGCTGCGGCTGCGGCCGCGGGAGCCGCTCGAGTTGCTGCGTGCCTCTTTCTTTTTCTTCTTGCTGTTGGTCTCGGGTTCGGAGTCGACGAGGTATGAGTCATCCGAGTCGTCGTCGTCGTCGATGCTCTCGTCGTAGTGGAGCTGCTGGCCAAAGAGCAGCTCGGGAGGGTTGATGTTGGTGAAGTAGAAGTACTGCGAGACGAGCACGACGTCGACGAGGACATAGTACATTCCGACCACCTGCTGGAACCACATCTGGCTGGTCCAGATTGCTCCTAGAAGGTTGCCTGTGTCCGTCAGCTGCTGCCGAGGCACATGCGAACAAGGGAAACATACAGATATCGCCTGCGAGCCATATCGCCAGGAAACCCAGACTCAGCCCGTCCACGGATCCGCGGCGGTAGTTCTTCCAGCATCTGTGGCATCTGCGCAAACAGCCACGACACGATGGATAGCACGCCGGCCGCCGTAGAGAAGAAGGACAAGTACGATGGTAAACATGTTCCGAATGTCTGCGAGAGAAATACCAGCACCGGTGTATCCGGTTCGCAGAAGGGCGGTAGGTCTGGTGGTACGTATGATAATGGGGAGGACATGGCTGCTGCTCGTAGGTGTTGATAGGGGGTTGAGGGAGAAGAGGAACGGATGTGGATGTGAATGTGGACGCTGGTGCTGGATTCGGACTGGTGGGGACTATATGCAAATGCTGTTTAGCCCTGGGCTTCCCCGCATTTCAATGGTCAAAGGTCAAGTAGCCCACCTGCTCTAGCTCGTCCGTGTTTCGTTCCTGGTGGTGAGCGAGTGCAGTAACTCGTGCGTCGTTTCTCGGTGGATATAGACTGTTTCGTCGGGCCAGCCAGCGGAGTATTTACGTAACGAGCGCACTGTAGACGGAACGATGAGCCCGAGATTTCGCGCACGGGACAGGTAGAGACGCGACGTGTGGGCGGAGCAGGAGTGGAGAGTTTGGGGGAGTTAAGTATGAATGGGAGCTGTCGGGAGCTATGGGACCATCCGAGGAGATAGAGCAGATACGGGGGGGCAGGGCAGAGGGGTGAGACACCCACCCACCACACCGACGCACGACTCATGCGCGGAACTAGGCTGCTCAGATGACGGTATATGGTCGCGGTTGGGAGGCCAGGGCGCTTTTAGCTTTTTTCCATCCACCTTCGAACAACGTTGGCTTGGCCGAGACGGGACGAGACGAGAGCGGGGACGGGAAGCGGTGAGCTTTCGTTCGTTCTTCCGTTTGGTTCGCCAGCTCGTTCGTTTTCGGCCGGACTGCCCCTCCCCACCGCCGCGCGCCGGAAGACGATAACGACAGCGGCGTATGTCATCTCATCGCACCGATTGCTGTGCTGCGGATCCCGAAGGAGGAGGATCAGGAGGAAGTCGCGAGGATGTGGTGTCGTGTGGAGGAGATAAGCCCCAGCCGGTCACCTGCGTCACCGGACAGGGGGCCTGGCACACAGGGTCCACAGAGATAAGGGGAGCGGGTGGGTAGGTAACCCCGGCAACGCAGGGAGAGATAGCAGCACAACGGCGTCGTCCTCCGCGCCCTCTCCTCTCCACACTCCCCGCCCGCTCATCCCGCCGTCTGCACTTTCGACTCGGCTGTCGCGCTTTTCCCTGCGGAGCCGATACGCAATAAAGCTTCTTTCTCGTCTAGAATCCGATGAATGGAGAGAGATATAGCGAGTGGACTCACGCAAGATCTCGCGTTCCTTCCGATCATGCCCTCTGACCACAAGATCTCTCCCATGAGTCCAGTCTGCTGAGTCTTCTTCGCTGCGGCGCGGCCCCCGAAATAGGACATGGATATAGTGGTAATCCACGGTGAGTGGGCAGTGAGTGCGTGAGTGAGTGCGCGAGTGAGTTCGCGAGTGGCCGTCCCTGTCGACCTCGCCCTCGTGCTTCCTTCTACTTCGGTGTTACCGAGATCTCGCACTGATCGGATCGCCGTTCGTTGCGTCCTGCCTGCCTCTCGAGTAGCTATCCACTAATTCCACTCTACGCCCTACTCTACTTCGTGCGTGCAGCACTCTACGTCGTCGTACAGGGGCAACCGCGCTTACGCTCGAGAACGACTGAACGTGCTCCGATTGGCCGCGCCTCTTGGCTGACCGAAGCTGATCGTTACCGACCGCTCTTGGCCCGCTGTCTCGCTCTCCGGCCGGTGGTTTCCCGATTCGTGTTCTACGGGCGGATCCTACGGAATTCTGCAGCGCGCTTCCTGCAGTTTGCGGTGCCAATAGGCATCCGTCCAACCATCGCGAAGGACAGAGACATTGAAGTCACTCGATGTCGGAACACTGGCGAGCTGACTTCCACGCTACGTATGCTGTTCCAGTTTACGCAACCGCATCGGGTCGGATACACCTGCAGAAACTCCGTCGTTCATTCGTTTCCTTGATTTCGACCAAGCATATTGACATCTCTTTCGGCTTGGCTTGGACTGATGGGTGCGGTTGATCGATACATACGACTGTTCGGGTCGAGTCCTGCAGTTTTTATATACCAAGGCGAGCACGGGTATTATGTTTGCGCTACTATTCGCCGCCGCGTTGGCGTGATATATTACTCCCCCGCAATATCGCAATTTCGGCAGTGATGCGAATCCGATCCCAGATCTAGGAACGAAAAAACCAGCCCCACAGGTCCTGATGGCCAGCTTCTTCTCCTCCCCTGCTTCACTGGGTGCCCTGGACGGATCTGCCGGTGCTCTAGAAAAGGCGTCATCGCGATCCTTTGCTTTCGTTTCTGTACGAAGCTCGTGTTTGTTGTGTCCGAGACACTTTCAGCTGGAGTGGACAGATTCGAATTCTATGGATGGTTCTGTGGGCCGTCGCGATTGGCCGTACTCTACAGGCACGGCAGCTTGTTGGTCAATCGCGCACGGATTTCTAACTCGTTCTGCATCCGGGTCCGTGCAGATCAGCTGGAAGCATCGACTCGATGGGGGGTGCTGGCTACATAGAGGCGACGAGCGGGAGGCTGTCCAAACGTCAACGTTTCGTGATCGACACCTAAATCCCCCAGTGTGGACTTTAGACCGGCCGTTGGCGTCGAAACGAGATGTATGCCCGAGAACTGTTCTCCTCGGTTCCATTTTTCGGCACAAAGCCGACTTTCCATTGTTCTGGGTGCATGTGGTGGTGTCTAATGGACATCAAACTCCCAAGTTATACTCCCCGGAGTGGACCTCGACCATCACTGACCGAGGGAGGTTCCACAGCTTTCCTGACAATGACAGCGGCTACGCCAATCAATCATACATACTCATTCTGATTTCCTGCCTGTGCTGGCCAGCTAAAGGCAATCAAATCGACGGAGGAGCTACGGGTAGCTCTATCCAAGTACAAGTTCCCGGACCAAGCTAAACTTCCTTCCCAGCGTATATAACGCCCGCTATGGTTGTCCCGAAGCTGGCTTGCTGACTGACGATTGTTTTTTCTTTTCTTTTTCGGGTTTCGTTTCCAACTGACTGACTGACTGACTGACTGACGGCGGTCTGCGAGGATCATGGTAAATTACGCTCCGTTTTCGGCACCCAAGTCCGTGCAGCTGGAAAGCTTCACGGTTCGGCCATCGTATTCGGCTCCAGCTTCCAGCAGACCAGAAATCTTCCATCATTCTACGCATCCAACTTTCTGGAAGGGGTGGATCATCGTGCAGCTGTCCAAGTTAAATCGAGTCGATGGATGGTTCCAAGTTGGTTCCAAGTTCGATGCTCAACGAAATCGGCCGGTACGTCGACTTCTATGTTCTGGGCTGCGGGCACAACGTCGAGCTCTTTGAAAGCGAGGAGTGACGAGTGAAGGAAATCGCAGTCGCAGCTCGTGTTTCGACTGTCCAATGTGTGGGGCATGTGTTTGCGGATCATGTGGCTTTGCAGTCTGGGGGGGTTCTGGAGTCTGGACAGGTACGTTAATCAACTCGGCCATACATGCGGCCCGAAATCACTCATATCGGCAGTTTTACAGTACCTCCGAAGCACAATGAAGTCTCAGGCATAACAATCACGATACCCTTGGGGTTGATTGTAGTATCCTCTCAGCTATAAGAGCCAGCGACAGGACTTCTTTTACTGTCAGCATCAGACTGCTTTACTTCTCTGTGCCACTATTAATGGCTTCCCAGAATACCGTGCAGCGGCATAAGCGACGTCGAAAAACTTCGACCACCACACAAAACGGCCTATCCTCTCTACATGCAGAAATAATCCTGATCGTGTTGGTATGTTTAATAACTCTCTTGAATACTTTGTTTGGATCTGACGGGTACACTCAGAGCAACCTTTCTCGTTCCGATTTCTACAATCTCTGCCTCGTATCCAAACTTTTTCACACGTACACAACCCCCTACTTGTACAGATCCGTGGACATCGTGCTCAGTGGGTCTTCATGGGATGCGAAGGAACATGTTTACAACAGCCTTTCTCTAGAAAATAACCGAGGGTTGAGATTTATCACGAACTTTCGGTTCCTGCCCCACCAGTTCGTCATAAGAGGAGGGTTCTGGGTCGTCTTGGCCCCGATGCGGCAAAGGATGTACAGCGGCTCATGGGAGTACTGCTATCAAAGGTCGGCCCAAATGTATTGCAACGGTTTGAATGGTACCTCCCTAGTCTGCCGCTCCCCGAGGTCCGAAAGTTGCTCCATCAGGAAGCCCTCACGAAAGTTTCCTGGAGCATCTCTGGACGTCTCTGTCACAATCTGGAGGTACCGCAGTTCTTATTTAGTGTGGACGGCCGTGCATCGCCTTTGGCCAGTGTCACGATCATCTCCATAGCGGCGTCCAACATTGACCATATCCGCGCGTGGCTTGTCGCAGTGCCCAGCACTCAAGGTCCTACGACTAGAATGGAACCCACGCATTCGCTACCAGTTCTTGGAGCGTGTTCCGAGGGGGTGCTTTTGGACCGAAATTGGCCTCCACAATTTCCCGCGCCTCACAACGCTCAAACTGAAGTGGACGAACGTAACCTATCTCCACCGTCTGCCTGTAGTCGACCGCCTCACCTCGCTAGTCATCGACCGCTGCCAGGGCCTGGGGCCCTTCCTCAACGGCTGGCGCCGCAAATCCACCCCGTCCCCCATCCGCCTCCGCAAGCTCTGGATCCACACTAACGACCCTCTCTTTCCGGCACATCCACGACTTCCTCCACGCCTTCACAGGCCTGCACGAGCTCGCCCTCTACAGCGGATACACACCCGCACCGGCTGACCTACGTCTCGACCGGGATCCGTGCTCACCGGGGCACACTATCCCTCCTTGCGCTGGACACACTCTCCGACCGCTTCGGCTCTCGCTTCGCCGCCTCGCACGTGCCCATGGTTTTTGGAAGAAACCGCCCTCCTCGCGACCGACCTGCAGCACTACCCGCATCTCCGCGCCCTCGCGCTCCCCGCGGACCTCGGCGCCCTGCCAGACCTCACAATCGCCGCCCTTGCCGGCCGCGTCCAATGTTTCCAGATCCACCTGCGCGCCGCTCGGGCGCTCCAGCCGCTGGCGCAGGCGATCGCCAACGCCGTCGCGCGCGGGTTCGCGGGCGGCGAGATCGATGGCGATATCGCTACTGATCTGGACGATAAGCCGGCGTTCGCACAAGTCCGCTGTGCGCTCGCTGCCGGATCTCGCGCGCATAGAGAATGAGCGCAATAGGCTGCAGGCGAGGCAGTCGACCGAGCCGAAGACGCTTGGGATGGTGCCGAGGCTGAGGTATCTTTCGCTGTTTACCGGGGCGCTGAAGGAGTGGGTCGTTGTCTTTGAGGTCGAGAGGTGGGCACCGTTTCCGCCTGTTGTAAGGAAGGTGCGGAGGAGGGAGGTTGGGAAGCTGGAGATGGTGTTTAAGGTCTTGAGGGAGAACTTGGTTTGATGGGTAGTGTAGTTGGCGGACGGGGGAGTGGGAATACGTGGGAGTACGTATAGTCGGCAATTAGGTATCGTAGTATGCCATACTGATGTTATCGTGTGTTTATTCCCGGTGAGATGCGGAATTGGTAGGCCGCTCATCCAGTCCATCCTATCGACTCCAGTCCATCCAGTCGACTGCAGTCCATCCAGTCACTGCAGTCCATTCAGATCCATCCAGTCCGTCCAGTCGACTGCAGTCCGTCCAGTCGACTGCAGTCCGTCCAGTCCATCCAGTCCATCTACAAACTAGGTAGTAGACTACCGGTAATACCTAGGTGTGCGGACTTTTTTGTTTAATCAGTGATTGCTTGCGACCTAAGTAGATCATGGCAAACCTAGGTGTGCGGACGACCACCCGAATGTTTCCGGAGAACTGTCAACCCCGCGCTCGAGTCTGCAGGCGCAGGCTGTGGCTCCGGTATGGCACTAGATGATCGGTGCTGTAGGTCGAATGGTTAAACGTCTGGATAGGCTTATGTGAAATCTGGATGATCCAGTGGTCGTTGGTTATGGAGCGTCACTCGGCGGGCTTCGATAACGTTCCTGGTAATTCTTGCTTTACAGACAAGCGGATCCCAGAGGCGTCTGAGGAAGATGTAACAAGTGAGGTGCTAGGATGGGAGATCAGGGAAAGGGAAGAGATGGAAGTGGAGTTGAGGCAGGAGGAGTAGGGTGCTGAGGTTGAGGAGCCGGGGTCAATCCTACTCCGGTTTGTAATGCTCTCGAGGCGACAGATGCGCTTCTACTAGAATCTCTAAGCTAGGCTTGAATACCAGTATCTAAACCATACCATGCACTGTGATGAGTCCAGTTCCGCATATCCATAAGTGAAGTTTGGTAAGGCTGGGTATCCAAGTGCGGTCGTCAGCTGACTGTCTGTTGTTGGATTCATTGAATTGCTCTCTCAGGTACAGCAGGATATTAACTTCGGAGCCAAGCCTTCCCAGGGCAAGAATACTGCGAAGGATTAGGGTATCGTGATTCCAGTCTCAGGGCACCAGTGGTGTGCGTGCCCTCACGTAGTACTCACATCGTGGGCTACCAAGACACTCTCAGCCATAAAACCCACCGCTCATCTCCCTCCCAACTTTCTACATACTTCTCTCTTCTCACTTCACTCTACAAATCTCACTCTACACATCTCTCACTCAACATATCTTCTTAACCAACAACTCACCCCCTTCGATGGTACCTTCCAAAACCGCACACTCGACCAACCAAAACTTACGCATAATCCTGTCGCCAAGAACTGGTGGTGTGCGGTCTACTTCCCTTTCCCCTATCCCCCATCCCGAGCCGAGCTGCAATACAGACTCGGCGCCCGACCCCAGCTGGCGATCCATCGTCGACTTCATTCACCATGTCGGATTTCCCGGGCGTCTATGCACCAACAGCAACAGCAGAAATGATTCTGCTGCCCACAGAAGCAGCAGCATCAGATTATGCTGTCGGCGTTTTGAGCAGTCGGGCAGCTCTTTACCTGGCCTTGGGCAACACCGAGTTGCCCAATCCCGGAGCTGGGGGGGCCTGGGCTGAGCACCAGATGTCGACATCAACCTGTCGATGACTACTCCACAGCCCTTGCCTCCCTCGGTCCCGTTTGGACCGGGGAAGCTCTCCCCCCGGCAGTCAGAGACTGCCCGCCGATCCGAAGGCAGATATACTGCCTGAATCCGATGAAGAGGGAGGAGGAGCGACGGATGGGGTCGGCCCAAGAAGCATGCGAAGCGCCGCATGAGGCCGGCAGCCAACCACGAGGAAGACGGGATGGGGCCGATGCATAAGGAGGTGAAGGAGCACCCTATGGGGTTGGCTCAAGTTGAAGGAAGAGAGGCCAGATTGGGCTGGTCGCCGGCGCACAAGGAGGCTGCCCCGGCACGAGGTTGGGACACTAAAGACTGTCTCGATCGATTCGAATCGTCCAGAGGGATGGGACGAACCGACCGAGACAGTCTTCATTATCATAACCTCCGATTCGACGAGGGCGGTGCTAATCGCCATTACCGAGAGAGCGCCCTTCTCTCCCTTTCGGATAATGAAGAACTCAACTCGTCTAGGGCAGAGCTTTCCGACAATGAAGAACTCAACTCGTCCAGAGTGGAACTATCGGCAAATGCCGACCCCATCACAGGAAACCGATTCTGGAATCAGCTCGGGATTCAGCACTCTTCCATTGGATGACGTGGATAACCTCCCACGTACATCCAAGAAGACGATTCATCCCGACCAGAATGATGTGGATATGGAGGATACCGGGCAGATGGAGGGCTCGCAACGGTTGGAAGATTCAACGGATTCTCAAATCGCGAAGGATTCCCAGGCCTCGAAGGATTCTTAAGTCTCGACGAATTCGCAGAAAAGCGATAACACCGCAGATGGCGATTCATCGGGCGAATACACGCAACCTAGGACTAAAACCTCCGAGGAAACGGAGGGTTTGCAGGAGGCGGAGAGTATCATGGAGACAGGGGGATCAAAGGATAGAAGCGGAGGTTTGAAGGCCGGTGATGAAGAGAGCCCATGGGCTAGCGTGCAAGGAGGAGGGGAGGAGGATGAGGCCGCCCTATGTGGGCCGGTGCGCAAAAGAGAAGCCCTATGTGTCCGGTGCGCAATTAGGATTAGAAGGAGGGCCCTATGGGGCCTGCGCAAGATGTGAGGAGTTCCTAAATGTTTCTTTAGTATAAGGAGGCAGTCCTCAGATTTCGTTTTTGTTTTTGTTGTTGTTTTTGTGTTTTTTGTTTAATCATTGATTGCATGCGACCTATCTATCATGGCAATATCCCCCCCTTCACCCCCTTTCCACCCACTGGCCCAACCCGGCTTGCACCGAGCGGCCCAATGTGGCTTTCCCTGCCCTCCGCCCCAGTCTGTCCCAGAAATGTAGATACGCGGTAAAGACTGAAGTGGTGGTGGTGGTGGTGGTTGCTCAGCATATGCCCGATTCCAGCCCGGAGCACGCTCCTGAGTCCTGGTGGGCTAGGAACGTGCTGCTGAACTCTGAACTGCTATACAAACTCGTACGGGAGCTTTCATAGAAAGTGTGTGCTCAAGATATGTGCGAGTGATAGCCCGTCTACAAGCCCTCGGTAGTCGGTTCAGAATAGAGCCGTTGCCAAACCCCCTCCACCGGAGCCTGAGTACACCCGGCGGGATTGCCATGGGAGCAGCGGCGTGGACCGATATTCGGATGTGTGTGTGTGTGTGAATAGGTACTGGAAGTCCCCCTTGGGCGCTACGTACAGCGGGAAGCGGCCGAGATGCGTCGAGCGCTTCACGGATATCACTACCTATCACTCGGCATGTTGTCGTTTTTTAATGGTAGTCGAGTGGGAAGTTGTGAAGGCTGAGGGAGAGATGCATGCTAGAGAGAGATCTGAGGAGGCGAGAGGGTCGGCCGATGCTCTGGTCCAGTGGTCCCGTCGCCGAGACGGACGACTAGGAGGGCAACCATAGCTACGGGGAAGACACGGCCATGTAGCTGAAGCGCAAGTTAGGATTCCCACTACTACTAGGAATGGCACTGTAAACTCCCATTCAACCTCAACGAGTACTCCACCGGATACCGGTACACGAGAAGATGGGCTTATTTTTTATTTTATTTCGAATTCGAAGATGAGCTGAGCTGTCAAGCTGAATCCTGATACCGACCGTACGGTGCAGGTCGCGCCAGGCCAGTTAGCTGACGCAACCTTGGAACTTGGAAGCGAAGCGATTGACGAGCTGTCCTGGCTGCTCATGGGGGCGGGACGAACGCATGGATCGTGGAGCGGAACAGCAGAAGAGCAAGGAGAATGATCCTTGGCTGGCGCGAGCATCCTTTTCCAGCAGCCATGACGCTACGTCCAAAACAAATAGGTGTGGATGCGACTAGTAGTCACGTGCTTGTACTTTAGTCGCGTGGGTATTCACCCTGAGTTCCGCGTCAGTACTCTACCGTAACCACCAACAATCCCTACTAACGACCACCATCACCACATCCACCAAATGTCTTCTAGCATGATTCCCCCCCTGCCTAAAGATGCGGCCTACTGGAAGGAGCAGCTCTTCCAGGTAGAAAACCCGGTTATTTTACCAGTGGACCAATTCGACGAAGTGTGGCCGTTGGTGTGCAATGTCTACACGTTCCGGAACAAGAGTGTACAGCAGAGCGGCGCCATACAAGTCGAGCACGGGGAATGTCGTTTAAAGAAGAGCCGCAAATCATCCAGCAGTGTCCAACCCGATGGCAATCCGATCAAGCGCAGGACGAGCAGCGTCCGCGATAAAGACCAGTGTCAGGTGACGGTCAAGTTGACGCGTCAACTCATCGGGCCCCATCCTACTGTCACCCTCGAGCGCAAAACAGAACATCTCCACACTCACGACTTTGAAACTAGCTGCATGGTCAAAAAATCAAAGTTTGTGCAGGAGCTGATTGCGACGGAGGCCGAGAAGAACTGCTCCGCAGCCCAGATTTTCAATGCGTTACGCAGTGCTGGTTTGGAGGAAGGTAATGGTATTATAAAGATGTATGAGCTCCGAATTAATTAAATTAAATATAAAAAAATAACTAACATTGAAATAATCAGTAACGATATTCATAATGCCCGACGGTCAAAACGAGTCGACCCTCCGCTAAATTTCCAGCCCGGCACCGTTTTCGGAGACGATATAATACAAGCACGGAAACTACTCGCAGACGAAAAGTGGCTATACGAAGAGTTTCAGGTGGAAGACAGTGGAAATCGGAAGGAGGCGCGGTGGGGATTAGTCTTCGCCGATCCGACCAGAATACAAATCCTACACCAACGCGGATATTTTACGCAATTTGACTCCACCCATAAAGTCAACAAATGGAAGCACAATATGTTTTCCTTTCTCGTCAGGGATAAACACGGTATTTGGATCCCGGCAGCACACTGCGTCGTTGACCGGGAAGAAAGTCGAGTTATTGCCAAAGCCTTGTCTGTACTGAAGACCTGGTGTTCTGGTAAATGCCATCCGCGACTCTGACATTCCGAAAAATCCAAACTAACAATCCATACAATAGGCGGATGGCAACCACGATACCTCCTTACAGACGACAGTGCGATCCAGCAATCCGCCGTACGCCAGGCATTCCCCGAAGTTTCCCACCTCCTCTGCACGTCCCATTCCAAGCAAACTCTCCAACATCGATTCGGCGGCAGGGAAGCTTTCAAGCCCGTCTACCAAACTCTCCGGCGTGCCATGTATGTCTCGACGCGGCTGCGCTGTCACGATCTCTGCATGGAAGCGATCAGTCTCGCCCCGGACGACGAGACGAAAACCTACATCCGTACGTACTGGCTGCAAAGAATGCCCAAGTGGGCACTTTACGCTCGCCAGCACAGTCCGATGCTGCTACAGAACCCCACAACAAACGCGTGCGAAACGTGGCATCGACAGTTGGAAGCGGGGCTGGGACTCGTCAACAACGAACAGGTTGCCACAAACCACGGTAAACTTTCTATCATACATCCGCCTTCATTAGGCCTTAGACAAAAAAGCAACTAACTTCGTTTCCCCCCAGGAATCCACAGCATGATCCAGCACACGATGCAAAGTGCGCGGCAGCGCGATATACGGGCACACGAGGCGGCCATGAAGTTCAAGAACGGCACCGCGGGGCTGTCCCTGTGCACGAAGGAGTATCCTGAAATCGGCGGCTTTCCCGTCCCCATCCAGAAGCTGCTCGTGCAGGAACTCGCCGCCGTCGAGGCGCGCATCGAGCAGGGAAAAGATGCGCCGAATCCGAGCCAGTTCGATGGATCATTGCTGTGTCATTGCCGGTATGTAGTGTATTGCAGTGATCTGATCCCGCGTTTGGAAATGGATGGCTTGTCGCTAATGGATTGGATTGGATTGGATTGGATAGGTTTGCCCGTCACTATCGCCTGCCGTGCCAACATGTCTTTCATCTGGACACGGAGACGAAGGTGCTCACACCTGATGTCTGGCACCGATATGTCCACATGTTTGATGAGCTGGGAATGGCGGTCTACGAAACGATTGGATCTGTGCCTGTGGATGGTGCTGGTTCGGATGCACCAGTGCCTGATAACGGACGGACCGAGGCAATTCTAGATCTTCGTGTCATCGGAGAACAGTTACGACACATCACTTATGGTATGCAAGAGTTGATGGAGGTACACCAATGGGAGGGCCGTCAGCAGCAGCAAGTGACTCAGGCTTGGATGGACGAGGTTAGGGAAGCTGTGGCACCATTGGTAAAATCACGGCCGGAGGAAATTATAGAAAGGCATAGACCATGGGAGTTGTAAATATTATGTTTTAACTACTCCATCTATCTCCCTTGTATCCACCGTTCGCTCCTGCTCCTACGCCGCTATCTGCTCCCCGCCGAATAGACTATCAATCCTGACGGTGGTACTCCTGACGTCGGGCAGGACGAGCACCACATCGGCGTTAGCCTTGTACTCGGTTTCGCAGCTGACATTATCCGCACCGTCGGTGCACTTTATCTCCACGTTCGGAAGCGAGAGCTGTCCGGGCCGGGTGGGGACCAGGACGAGCGCGAACGTCTCGACACTGCCGTCGACACCGGCAAAGTGTGCGCGTTTGCGGCCGCTGATGAGCCACGTGTCCGGATTGTTTTGGACTTCGTAGAAGAACTCCATGGGCTTCGCGAGGGCTTCGGCGTCGGCGGTTGTGTCCCAGTGCCGCGAGTGGCGGATTATCAGTTCTGCTTGGAGCGAGACGCCGACCGTCACCATTGGCGGTGCGTAGGGTGAGGATAGTTGGCGCGAGATGCTGTCGCAGAGCAGGTTTAGCTCGACCGTGTGCATCACCTGCAGCGCCGGGACTTCGACGGGGATGAAAATGGAGCGTGTAATGGAGGTTAGGATGTCCTTCTGGTTGAGTGGGATCGTGGCGTGTTTCTACTTTCGATAAGCATCTCGTTTTCGGTGGTTAGTCGATGAGGAAGCATACCGTGAAGAACTCCTTCAACCAACTCTCCACCTTTGCCCGTTCACCGGAGCGCTGATCGATCGCTTCGAGCGCATCCTCCCATCCGTACTCCTCGTACGTGCCGATATCCACCTCTTCGAGCAGCGCTGCAGTCTCAAGCTCAGTGGGCGACCTATGTCTGAACCGCATGAAAAGCCCAGGTAGTAACCAGTGAACATATCGCTCGAAACCGGCATCCTTCAGATCCCTCTCGAAGACACTCGACACCGTCTCTCGCAGCTCTAATCCAACCGTCAGACTCCATCAACATCATCCGCCGAAGCCGGAAGCAACAAACCTTCGTCCATATTGGTGTACTCGATAACGAGCGCCAGACTCTCCGGCGGACTAGTAACATCCATCTTCCTCATGATCTTATAAGTAAAGTTCGCCGGCTGCTTCGCGAAAACCGTCATGCTCCCCTCGGTACCCACACCGCCCTCGGCATAGAACGTCTTGCTCTCGTGCAAGCCGACGGTAAAGACCCTGAGCGGAACCTCTGCGGCAGCAGTCGAAACCTGGAACTTGGAATAAAGCGCTTTCTCTTTGAAGATGTCCTGCACGTTTACGGCCAGCGGCAATGCCACGAGCACGTTCAGTGTCTCGATGAAGAGGAAGCCACCCTTCTCGGTGGTATAATCCACCTCGAGGCGAACCATCAGCTCCGTCAGCTCGTTGTCCGAGTTGTACGGGAGCCTCACACGGATCTCGCTCTCTGCCGGAAACTCCTTGAGACACAGAGTTCCTGGCTTCTCGGGGTTGACCACCACCACATCCGTCCCGCTAACGACCTCGAGAGATCCAGTGATGAGTCTGAGTCCCGCAGTCGCAGAGCGGATACGAAGCTCTCCCTTCTCAATGGTATTCTTCCCTGACGAAACCTTAATCTCTACCATCCGCATCTTCTCCAGGTGGATATCTTTCGGCATCTCCAGTTTTCCCGTCAATCCCCTCGGCGCGGGAAAGAAGCTCAGCTTCGTTTTCTTCGCAGCCGCAATCGCTGTGCCGGCACTCGAAACCAATCCCAGAGGAGTATCGGGCATCGTTCGAGCCATAAACTCGTGCACAAACTTGAGTTTTCCGGCAGTAATGGTGAGCTGCTCCACGATGTACCTGCCCGGTATCGTCTGGTTGGTAGAAACAGTGCTCTTAACGATCCCCCTCCTCATTTCAATCGGGCCCGAGGATTCAAGCGTCAACTCACGGCCTTGTAGCGGCGGCGCGGAGACGACTCTGACGGTAATCTTGTCGATGGTCAACGGATCGGTGAGTAGATATCTCATCCGCACACCGACCTCGAACCCATCTTGATCTACCGAATGGCGCGGATACGGGTCGACGGAGACGTCGCTCCAGAAGTGCATTATGGGATTGACTATCTCCCTCGGAATATCTGTAGAGAGTGCCATGACCTCCGATACATATCCCCGCACGTCGACGTGTGAAGTATTCAGCCTTCCCAGCGGCGACTGTGTCGGCGGTGTCTCAACGTCCTTTCCGGCGAGTCTTCCCACGCGGGCTCTTTCCGCGGCGGCCGACTTCTTGAGGAGCTTGAGGAGAACATTGGTGTGCTCTTCTGGCTTTTGCATCTCCTTAAGACACTTGGCATACATCCCCAACAGCGTCGTCTCGATGAGGCCCCAGCCTTGCTCCTCATAGAAGTCCGTCATGCGCTTCAGGTGCACCGCGGCGGTCTCGTACTCCTTCAGGTGGCTGCAGAGATGTCAGCAAATGTGCGAATATACGAGAATCGGGTGCTATAGCACACAATTTCAAGGCTGCCAGATCCGACTCCACCCTCTCGGCACTCTTGTACCGTTTTGCGAGGCCGTAGTATCTCATGGCCTTCTCGCTGAGCTCCGCAAACCGTGAGTAGAACCCCCCGTCGTCCTCGGCCGCCGCCTTCAGATCCTTGTTCCGAACACCCTCGGGCACCCAGGCCGCCGGCTTCCCCTCGTTCTTCGTTGCGTCATCGTCACCATCCAGATTCACCTCTTCCATCTCCCCCGAACCATCGCCAACATTGAACCACCCCTCGCGTCCCACCCATCCTCGCCTGGCTCCTATGCCTTCGAGGACTGTTCTAGCAAGAACAATGAGCTCAGCACGAGCAGCCACAACCTCCTCAAGGCCCGTAATACCCCCCTTCATCGCTTGCGCAAAGGCGGGAGTCTTTAGCGACAAGCTGCTGGATCGCTGCGGCAAGAGCCCCTTATCCGAGCCCTCTTCCAATCCCTCCGGGATTGCCGAGGAGGTAGTCTGTTGGAGCAGCTGTGAACATACCGCGTAGGTCCACGATGCGATCAGGTTGTCGATTATTGCGCTAAGTTCCTCGGATGAGGTGATCTCGTCCTTGTGCTTCTTCTCCGAGCCTTGGAGTGAGTCTTGGTGGGGCGCTGTGAGATCCGCCCGGAGAACCCGAGCAACGGTGGTGATGAAGTCGACTCCGCGCCTGCAAATCTCGGCAAGACGAGTCAGATCATCCCCCTCCTCCGAGGCGGATTCCTGCGAGGAATCACCGTTCCGCTTTCCCAATCGTAGCAGCAATGTCGCCTGTCGTGCAAACAGGTAACACCTAAAATCAAAGACCGAGATCTCGTTGCTCAGGATAAGCTCCCGGTACGGTTTCTTATCCGAGGCGATTGGATGTCCCTCCTCGATCTCATCCACCGCCTCCCCTTCTCCCGTCTTCCTCGCCTTCAAACATTTCCTCGCCTCCTCGATCCAGTAGAGCCCCTCCTTGGTCCACCCGATGAAACTACCACCGATGACCTCCCCCTTTTCCTGCTCCCTGACAATCGCCTCCAGCCCAAACCCCAACTCGTCATACAACACCAAGGCGTCCTCGACGAGTCCCACGCTCTCGAACGCACGCGCCAGGCCCTCCTTCAGCACGAAAAACGTACAAAAGTTCCACCCGGGCAAACTCCTCTGGGAGTCCCTTTCCCTGACATCCTCCTCATACTGCGTGACCCTCGCATCGAAGCTGGCCAAGATCTGCGTCTTAAGCTTTGCCACCAGGTCCAGCCACGCGGTATCGACCTCTGCGGGGGTCTCGGGCGTGGTGGTCGCCGCCGTCGACGCCACCGGCGGGCTGAGCGTCTGCAGATCCGGATGGGACGGGGCGATGCGGATCTGCGCGACCCGGTCGATCTTCGCATTCGACCCATTGAAGTCGGAGCGGATCTTGTCCAGCAGTGTCTGCGAGCCCTTCATCCACCTCGACGTCCCCGTAACGTTCGACGCGGACGAGCTCGACCGCGGCTGCTGCGCGGCGGGCGTGCCCGGGAGAACCACATGCAGGATTAGCCACTCGTGGGCGTCGTGGTTGTCGGCGCCGTCGACGGTGGCGTGCGTGGATACCCACTCGCGCAGCAGCTTGCGCTGCGTGTTCTTGTAGCTCTCGTTGTCGTCGCATCGCAGGATGTACACCTTCAGGTAGGGCGTGTTGCGTAGTCCCGGGATCTGGTGGCGACGCTCCTTCCGTGGGCCGGCGCGGCTGCGCGATGCGGAGCGCGCGATGTTGCTGGGTCCTTCATTGGAGCGGGTGGAGTCGGTGGATTTGACGCGGGTTAGTTCAGCGGAGGTTTGGAAGGCCGGCGAGGTGAGGTTGGTTGGAGACGGGGAGTATGGAAGGAGGTCAACGTGGAGCGAGGTAATGGATCGGACGGGACGCGCAGGGGATTTCCAGTGGAGGTTTCGAAGGGGGAGGCGCGTTCGGAGATCCGGGGCAATGAGTGGGAAGAGCGCTGCGGGGTCCCAGTAGCTGTGGATAGGTCAGACGAAAGGCTGTGGATGGCCGGGCAGGAGTCTATACGTTACGGCGACCTTGGAGGTAGAGCTGGGTTCCATTGAGTGTGTTGGGATGGAGGAGAGCTTCGTTCTGATGGATGCTCAAAGGGGTATCAATTGTTTCGTACGCATAGAAAAACAGACAGGCAGATCGTCAGGTGGAGCTACAGTTAGCATCAAGGGACTGAAGATGCACAGCTACTTCACGCCTGGCTACTTCCATCTTCGAGGTTGCTCACTTGTTACGTACAAGCCCCACTAAGCAAGCATGCAGGCCCAGAGCCGCAACGCCATCACCAGGTAGGAATCAATTCTCGGGACCGTCACCATTTTAAAGAAATTAGATTTTTAAGGCGTCAATCACCGAATTAAGGACCAGAGATCACATAGTAGGGGGTCATAATCGTAATTTTCCTTATTCCTATCATAGCACACCAATCCCCTTCATTCCGCCAGGTCATAATCATGTCAACAGCATCAAAGCCAACAAAAGAAAGAGACAAAAAGACGCACACATCAAAGAAGTAGGGTAGAAGTACAAATCTCCGTCCTTCAAGGCAAACCAGAAGCCAGCAGATCAGAACTCGGAGAGAAAGCCACGCATAGATCGCCCCCAAAGACAAAGAGAATCAATAGTACAGACCGTTTCCAAAACCACAAAGCACAGCACACGCAGTTGACAGGGGGTATCCTACGCTGAAAACAAACACAAAATTGAAAAAGCGAAAGAAAAAGGGGAAAAAAGAGAAGGGCGCAATCATTGTGATCGAAACCTAAAGTATACATTTCCTCCAGATGACGATCGACACACCTATTGCTGCGGGACCGGAGGGATGGGTGGCACCACATCGTCGTTGTCCAATCCTCGCCTCTTCTTCCGGTCCGGCTTGTTTGTCTCCGCACCGGTGACGCCGCCGCCCATGACTGCGTTCGATATCGCGTTGCTGACCTTTCTAACGCTAGCACCACTGATCTTCCGCAGTCCGGTCAATCCAGGGCTCTTGCTCCGGCCAACCACTCCGGGGCTCTTGCTACGTCCAGTGCCGCGTCGCCTATTCACAACCAGTGATGTCGGCTCCTGCGGTGGCTCGGTGACGGACGAGTTCAGCACTGGCGAAAGCGGAATCTGGGAAAAGCCTTCGTCCATCTCTGTGTCTTCGTCGACGGTTCCGGGACTCATGACACCGGGCGCGAACCGATTGTCGGCTGGGCTGGGCTCGGGAGAGTCCGGGAGCATCTGGTTCGGGTGCCTGGTGACGATCTTCTGTGCTGGGGTCTCAGATAACATTGTCTGTGATCTGGCTCCTTTCTTCGTGTAGGGTACCGGCGGCGGAGGCATTCCGTTGCTGTTCTTGTCTTGACTCGCCCGGGAAACAGGAGTAGGGTGCGGGGGCGCTGGTGGAGACATCTGGCTGGGAAGTTCGGGCATGGGAGGGATGGCACCGCGAGCGGTCTCTTCCAATTCCCGGCGAACCTTCTCCAGCTGTTCCTCAAGGTTGGAGACCTTCTTCTGCAGACGCTCCGCTTTCTTTAGCTCACGCTTAGTGAGGGGCTTCACGGGTCCGCCATTGCTACCGGCGGTCATGGTGGAGGCAATGGAAGTGGTGGAGATTGAGCCTGCGAAAACTTTAATCGACGTCCGGCTGACGATGTCGAGGGCGTTCTTCGGTTTCGTTTCGGTTTGGCCGTGGGAAGGGGCAATGGCCGTGTCTTCATACTTGACACTCATCGGTTCCTCTTCCGGCTCATCAACCTCGGTTTCATCACCATCGTCCTCGTCCTCGTCCGGTGGAAAGTACTCGTCCATATCACTTCCAATGCTCGCAATCTCCGCCCGCTTCCTCTTCCTCGCACTGCCGCCGAACATGTTGCCTTGGTCCGAGAAACTCGCCGCAAAGTCGTCATCCATGCTAGTAGCCCCCCCAACATCATCCGGATGCCTGACCAATGTCCCCTTGAACTCCCCGCGCGCCTTCATCTCAAAGTACAGCTGCTCGGCCTCCTTCTTCTGCTTCTTCATCTCCTCCTTCTTCCTCTCGCGCTCATCGTGCAGCGCCTTCTGTCGCGCATACGCCGCCTTGGCCTCCTCCACGATCGAGAACGGATTGAACTTGAAAAGGCTTCCCAGACCAAACGTGAACCGCTTCTTCTTCCCCTCCCTATCAGAGCCCAGCGACAAGCCAGACGAGGAGCTAACATTCCCCTCCTCCTCACTGGCACTGCCATTGCCACCGGCGACCTCCTCCTTAGCCGGCAGCACAGGTCCAATGATCTCTCTCGGCGGCGGCACACTAGCGCGATCGCGCATGCTGCCCTCGATGAACCTGCTGCGCATCTCCTCCTCCTCCCTATCCTCGTCCTCCTTCTCCTTCTCGCGCCGTCTGCGCTCCCGCTCCTCTTCGTTCTCGCGCCGAATCGCCTCCTTGGTAAATTGTCGCCCCGTGCTCCGCGGCAACACCTCCTTCTCCACCACGCTCAATGGCGTCGTGCTCCGGTCAAATTCCATCGACGCCCCGCGTGAGCCCTGTCGCCGCTTGCGCTCGAACGATTCGCGCCCGATCCGGATTCGCTCCTGTCGCCGCCGCTCGGCTGCCATGGGGTCCTCAGTAATGGCGGCGGGCGTGGGTGTGGGCGCGACGGTGGTGGTGGTGGGCTTCGGCTTCAGCGAGAAGCTGAAGGAGTCGCGCAGGATCTGTCGTCACGCGGTCAAGATTAGCACCCACCTCTCTCTCTTTCATTCTCTCACGCACAATCTCTCTCATGGATGGGAAGGGAGGGTAGAAACCTTCTGTGGAGTATTCAATTCCGCCATTATTGCGTGTGTTTGTGCGTTTGTTTGTCGCTATGATGTTTGTGTTTGTGTTTGCGCGCGATGCGTGCGTGCGATGCGTGCGATGCGTGCGATGCGAGGTGATGTTTGGTTTCGCGGGGGAGGTCAGTGCGGTTCAGTAGAGTAGAGTACGGTGCGATGCAGTGCGCCCAAGTTGGCCCAAGTGGCCCAATCCCCCAATCCAATGAGAGCGACGCGGTTGCGGGTTGCGGGAGGGAGTGGAAGTGGCTGGGGGTCGTGTCGGGGGAGGGGGAGGTGGAAGGGGAGGGAAGCGTGTGTCGGTTGGCGCGAGGTTTTATGTAAGTAAGAGTGTCTGTCCTGTCCGACGGTAAAATTAGATGAGATGAGGTGGACTGGAGCGAAAGTCAAAACAAAACACTCTGGGAGTCTGGGATGTAGTTAGTTAGGGGACACGTGAAGGTGCGGTTGGGAGGGTAACGCGCCAGAGTAGACAGGGGACGGCGCATGGTGAATGCGCTCGTGGTCACTCGGATCTGACAGACAGAACAGCGGACAGCGGGAGGCATATCCCATACATGTTCGGGAACTTATAAAGTTTCTACATACATACAGTGCATGAAGTTGACCCAATCTCAATCTTGATCGATGCCGAGAGGTTGGTAACGAGTGATATCGAAAGCATTCTGCGAGCAGTGGATTCCGCAGAGAAGCTTGTGTAAGAGTAGAAACTCACACTTCCCTCCTCCTCCCGAAGCTTTCCTAAACATTTTACAGTGTACTAGGTAGTAAATAGTGTCCGGTGGCATGTTTGTGGCTCGAATCCTGGCCCCGGCCCCGGATAACCTCTGTAGATACTCTACATATCAGCCCTGTTTCTCATTGTCTCTGGTACCTATTGGAAATTGGCACCGAGGATGGTCGAAGTATGTACACGTAAGTGGGTCAGAGGCGAGTCATGGTAGCAAACATGACTAGGTAATCGAGACGGTGAGTCGTGTGGCTGTGGGGTTGTGTGGTTGTGTGGTTGTGTATTCCAGTCCAGCAGTCGGTGTGGATTGGATGGACTGCAGTCGACTGGATGGACTGGATGGACTGGGCAGTCGGCGCAACTGGTAATAAGGGCTGAACAGACTGCAGTCGACTTGATGATGGACTGCAGTCGACTGGATGGACTGCATGGACTGGATGGACTGGATGGACTGGATGGATTGGATGGACTGCATGGACTGGATGGACTACAATCCAACCCCGTCCAGAAAATTGGCGGACGGGACTGGATGTTGGCAGTCCGTCCCGTCCGGACGCAGTCTGGACCGGACTATGGAGAACACTGATCGCATGGAGGCAGTTCCAACTTCCAACTTCCTGCTAGAAAACCTCCACCATATTATTCAGACGACGGTGGAGTAAGAGATAGAGAGAGCTGGTATGGTACGAAAAGAGAACACGTGATGGTACGTTGAAAGAGTGATGCCCCCCGCTAGCCACATACCTAGTTCGACCCAAAAATTTCAGAAAGTGTCAGTCTGTCAGTCGACTGCAGTCCGAGACGGTAAATCTTGGGGACGGACTGAATTCAAACCGTCCTCCAATTTTATGGACTGGACTGGACTGGACTGATGCAGTCCGTCCAATCTGGACTGCCGTCCGGACTGGACTATCGGGAGCATTGCACCCACCGACAGAGACGCCACGAGAACCCGGCGGGCAGCGGCCACGAGTGCTAACCCATGATGCAGCCACGGTCCCGGGGTTATAAACTCCGAAACGGGCAGCTCAGCGCACTTTGTATCCAAACCGAACCACCACCACCACCACTACCACCACCACCATCACGACGATCAGCCGCCAGTCGCCGCAGCGCCAGGGCTACCCAGTTATGTAAACTCTACCTACATGCGCAGAGTAGTCTTGTATGTATGAAGTAGATACCTCCTACCTACATCCTACCTCTTACTTATGAACCTTCCGCGACGGTACGTCGGTACCCTCCCAGGCCCCCTCCCAGGCTCCCAACCCGGTCCCCGGTCCCCACCATTCCCGACCCGAGTCCCAGTCTCTCTCCCACCTCCGACCCCCGACCCCCGACCCCCGACCCCCACCCCCACCCAATCATAGCCGCCGGGTGACGCGCGGTGACGGCGATACTACGGTATACTCTACTATATACTACATACTGCAGACAGACACACACCGTACATACGCGTTACCGAGGGAGGAGCGTCGCCCCCGCCCTCCACGCTCCGCACTGCGCGCGAGCGCGAGCGCTCGGCAGATGCAGGTGCCTGCCTGGTCGCCTGCCCCCCCACCACCCTTCGTTCTCCGTCCCCGCGGTAGTTGCACGGTTATATATGGCATGTATAGTACCTACTCCAGAGTCCATAGTAGGCAGCCTATATACCTAGTGAGTTGCCACCGTCCATGTCAGGCG